ATGTATGTTCTTGACCTGTACTAAAAACTGGTAATGAGCAGGCTGAGGAGGAGGACTGCTGTCTGGTGGTGGTGCGTCGCTACTACTAGGCAAATTTGGACAGCTCCGACTGCAATTCAACAATATCCCTTGCCATTGTTGCCACAGGATTAAGATCTTTGTTCGATTCAAATGAATCGTTGGCATCCGAATCGCATGTTGCAACAGAAAGACTTCCTTGTAGTCAGGACGATGGTGAGGTGTTCATGCTGTTACTACTAGTAGTAGTGCGAGTAGCAGCAAGATTCTTGCCTAGTTGGATTCCGAATTACGAGGGGCAACAAAGTGAGTTCTGTTTCTTTTACGGGAGCGTTCTCTTTCATCCATGCTGTCATCATCCACTCCAGCAGCAAAAGGAATAAGATGATGCGAAGGTAACAATGGAGGCTGTGAAGCAAATGGTACAACAAGCTGGTGTTGCTTTGTCTGCTGTTCTGCAGCATGTTGCTGGGCCGCCCGCTGTTCTGCCTTTGCCAACCTCTCCTGCTGCTGATTTTGGTCCATACGAATACCACTTGGTTCCTTACCTAAGTTGGCAGCTCTTCCACCAACATGGATGCGATGAGATGCCTTCTTTGATCCCATATCTGCTTCTGCAATAATCTGAAGCACCTTGATTTGTCCCCCAGGGGGAAGGACCTCGCCGGTGTCAAGATCATCGTCGGTGACCGTGATATCAACAACATCAATATTGACAGCATCTTCTTCAGTGCGCATTGCAGTTGCAAATTGGATGGTGATGCTATCTTCAATGATCTTCTCCGACATCACTTGACCCAAGGAATCTTTCTTGTAGAGCTTCCGGAGGTATCGACGCATAGTTTTGATGACGGAATGCTTCGAATCAAACTGGTGCTTCTGTCCCTCTTGAATGGCAATGTGTCTGCTGACCTTCTTGAACCACTTTGGCCACCGGATAGTGAGGCAGAGGTTGAAAGGATCAAGCCAATGCGGGATGATAAGATTCGAATGAATGGCATTGTGCATGATCATTCTGATCATAGTGTAGACCTGATCTTCATACTCTTCGTCGGAGGAATCATCGTCATTGGTGTCCTGTGAGTCCCATGTTCCTACAATAGTTGGATAGGCGCTTCCCAAGACACGGACATGACTGCCATCTTCAAGAGACATTTTGCTCGCAGCTTCTGCAAGTTCGTTGACATAATTTGCTTGGTGTTCCAAAGGAATCGCCGGTTTCTTCTTTGAGGAAGAAGGAGGGGCGCTGACAGGCATTGTTTGTGCTTTGCGTTTCAGGTGAGAGGAGGATTTGAATGACGGAGGAGTTTTTTGTGGCAGCACAAACTTTGGTAGTGGAGACGTGAACTGCGGAGACGTGAACTGCGGAGAAAAAACACCAGGACGACGAGTGCTTGATGGTTGTGAATCAGGAAGAGCAGCAGGTGTGCTGGTGGTGGGAGCAGCAGCAGCAAGGACAGAGGATGGTGTTTTTGGAACACCGTCGACAGTTGGCTCGTCTAGGTTGTAGTCAATCTTGTGAAGTGATTCTGCAAGAAGATTCAATTTCTATGATCAGTAGTAGTAGGATGATGAAGAATGCAGCGGCACCATCGTGAGGACGTGGAGTCAAGAATGAGGTTAACACTACTAGCAGTACTTACTTTTGCTCGGTTAGAGAAGCCAGAAGCTGATTTCCAGTTCTCGTGTATCACTTTGTAATGTCTCCAGTGCTCAGTTGAACCAGATTTTTTGTTATCCCAGCCTTCAGCTCCCTCTGTTTTGAGGTAAATCCAATAATAGTACACAACAAGTTGTTCAACAGTAGATAGCTTATTATATGAGACCTGTGGTGCTTGTCCTTTCCTGATCCTACTTGTTGATCCGAGCGTCCTTGCCATTGAGTCGGTTCCGTAAGAATGATCCTTCTTGCTGCTGCTGATTAATGAGCTTCTTGCTGGTGGTGGTGTTATTACTAGTCGAACCAGCACGTAGTAGCAGTTCTTAGCTGCAAAACTAGCCCAGCAGCAACATTAGCAGTAACACGCTGGTATCACTACTAGTAATTGTACGGGAACAGCAGTACGAATGGTAGTAGTCGTGGTTGAAGAAGCAAAGACCACGGTCAAGTGCCAGTCCTGTTTCGAAGAATATGAATATTAAAAACTACAATCATGAAGGTAGTTTAATATTCCTGCTGTCTTGAACAGAAGAAGACCGTTCAAAGTACTGCTAGAGGCTATTAATAAATTTAATTTCATTAAGCTCAACGAAAAATTCAAAGTAAATTTAATTAAATCTCATAGTGAATTCAATTTAAATTTAATTAACATTTTCTGTAAATTTTATTATCGTGTTAATTAAATTTAATTAAGCTTTAATAACAAATAATTTTATTAGTAAGCATGATATCCCCCAAATTAGAATCCGCATAGCCCTTGAAAATATTTGCACGTGTAAACAGTCAAAAAATGAGTTTGTGGGATGAAAGTGCGTTGATTTTCTTGTTTTAGTCCTAAATGACTTTTTCATTATTGAAAAACGTGCGCAATTCGCGCGAAAACAATAAAAAAGCTCCTTTCGGTGGCTCTCCAGCTGTTTTTATTATGGGATTAATTAAATTTAATTAATCATTTTATTAAATTTTTTTAAGTGGTTAATTAAATTTAATTAATCCTGTGATAAAAATGACTTTACTGGTGGTCAAACTTTGTCTTTGGGGTTCTCCCTGTTAAGTACTAGAATCATTAAGATTCAGCCATAGAATGACTCATAGGAAACAGTAGCTGTTATCTAAATGGAAAACCTCTAAAACGCGCATATTGCGTGAAAACATAAGAAAACAGTCCCTTCAGTTGATTTCCTGTACAGAATCCATTAGTTTAGTTTAGTTTAGTTGAATAAAAATKATTTAAACATCTTCAGCTTGGTGCAGTTCACCATAGGGTTCTTCCTCCCAGGTGTGTTGACATTTGCACTGGGGACCAGCAGCGCCAGCAGCAGGAGGTTCAATAGGGGCTGTAGGCATGGAAGCAGCATTCTGCAGAGGACCAAGGTGAGGAGGATGGTAATAAGGAATCCCTTGATGTTGCCACTGCTTTAACATGTTCATCACCATTCCAAGAGCAGTTTGTCTCTTTAGCAATTTGACTAGCCTCTCTAGCTATCTCATAATTCTCTTTGTCTCCTCTTTTTTCATTCTTGTGGTCTCTTTTTYCCTGGCATTTAATGTACTCATTGAAGGCAGCAGCAGGATCTGGGACACTGGATTTGGATTTCTTTTGCTGATAGGATATCTTTCTGACAGTAGGAGTTGATTGTACAAGTGAAGGTGTCAAGACAGAAGATGCTCCACCAGCAACAGGCAACGCTTCAGCAGATGATGCTTCTCCAGCAAGGACAATCAATGCTCCTTTGGAAGCTACTTCAGCAAGAATACCAGCCCAAACACAAGCCAATGGATCCTCTGGCAGTCAATGATGATCCTGTGTTTGGCGCTGAACCCTCCACAGCCTCACTCTTAATGAAGGCTTTCTTCATATAAAAGTCCTCATCTCCAATACCAAGATTGGCCTTTTGACCAATCAAGATATGGGCCTGGCTTGCAATCTTCACATACTCAGGCATCTCTGGATTTCCTGTTGAGCTCTTGATCCTCTTGTTAACTGCTTGAGCCAGCATTCCTCWCRGTCCCCTTGTTATACTAGAAATGCTAAATGTGCCACATTAGTTCCATTATGCTTTCACATTGCACCTTGCTTGACAAGAACATGTAAAGTGGACTTAGGGATGTCAGAAACAGATGACAGAGTTCTTAGATCACCTCAGTCCTTGAGTAGGATATTTTTGACTGCTTCCAAGTCTCTTAGTGGGTGTTGGTTTCCTACCACACTTGCTTTTTCTGTTGGAGACATCACCAGCAGGACAGGTACTAATTGGATCATAAGTTTCCTTGTAACACTTCCAAACCCTTGAAATAGTCTTTGGGTGGTGACAAATCAAACTGTTCCACAGCTTCCTTTTGAGATCCCTTCACAAGCTTCCTCTCCCCCTTACACCACATTAGAAAAACTGAATAACAGCACATATTTCATTGTTTGTTAAGTTTGTCTTCCTTTGCATTGTTGTTAATGGTGTTACTACTTGAGGAGCATCACTTGTTACTAGAGGAGGGTTGCTAATTGCAGGAGTTTTGTCAGCAGTAAGGACCAGCCTCCTCATGTCCATAATCATTGTTTTGCTTTTAGAAATAGCTTATTTTCTTTTAAAAGAAGGAATGGGAGGGAAATAAGTAAGCAATAAGTAGGAGCTGCAAGCACAAAGCACAAAGAAGAGGGAACACCAGTAGCACTTTGACTGCTGCATGATTGATGGATCCCCTGATTCTGGAGGCTGGAGGCTGGAGGCAAARCAATGGAGGTGCCAGCAAGTTGATGGATCCCCAGTTAGTGGAGATGCAAGGCAAGTCTCTAGCATGCCCCCCCCCCTCCCCCCCCTCTCAGTGTGAGGAACAGAGGCAGAAGGTGCCGGAAAGTCAATGGATCCCCTGTTAGTGGAGGTGCAAAGCGAGTCTTCAGAACTCCCACCCCTCTTCTTAGTGGGAGCAACAGAGATGCAGGGCGCCAGCAATTCAATGGATCCCCTGTTAGTGGAGGCAACAGAGGCGCAAGGCAAGAAGTCTTCAGCACTGCCCCCCCCCCCNCCCCCCCCCCTATAAGAAACATGGGAAAACAACAATAAAGTTACAGGAATGAGATGCCAGCTTAAATGCTGGTGAGGACATGCAACTAAATTGAACATACAGTGCTGACACCTTCGACTTCCACTGCCACCAAAGCAGACCAATTGGGAGGTGCAATGAAATCAAGAGTGAAATTATCACCTTAAAATAACACAGGGGGATTTTTGTACCGATGCACAATTTCTTCCCAAATTATGACAAACTGCAGCAAAATCTATCCATCCAATCCACGATGATTATAGGCTTCAACTAAAATCTTGCAGATGTTTAAAAATTTCTATTGTTTTTTAATGCTGTCAATCAACATCAATACTTCTTAGAGAGTGACTCCAATCCTACGATCATTCATAAAAAGAAAGTTCGTGGAACTTTCTTTTCCGTAAAATTGAATGCATTCAGTATTTGCGTGTCGCTGTAGCTTCATGAACAGCTCAATCATCCCTGGATCACTTTCATGCGTTTCCCCGATCAAAAATAATTCAAATCGTCGTAGACGCTATAATCACAGATGATATTTTTATCATGGACTTGCTGCGATAGTTCGCCTTAGGCGGATCCATTCTTTTTCTGAGCGCAACGATCCATCCAGGCATAATATTCGCATTCCTCATATGTATGGCGCTCATGCCCACATTCCCACATCTTAAATTTGTTTTCTCGTCGGCACTTGTTCAAATCAATCAAAAGGTGTCCGCACTTGTCTCGATAGGCCAAGGGGATCCTGGCGGCTGCCATGGCATCCACGTCTTGAGTTGTCTTCGGTTCTGCKGCGGGGTTGTTACGGCCTCCCATGATCAAATCTCTTCTCTTTATAAATCAAAGAATGTTGCTTCAACGCGATAGTAGAGGATCAAAGTACTTGATAGACTGTGATTCCGACGGTCAACAATCGTTTTGATGGGGCACAGCACCAGAATCGTCTCTGTCGACGGTACGCTTCACAACGAATTTTCGGGGCGCTGTTTGCCGCTGCTGGTGCTAATGTTGCTTCTATTGCACCCTGCTGTACTGAAATCTACAGTACTCGCAATCGTACTTGGTACGTACCTACGTACGCAGACATCATACTGGTAGCAATTAAGTAGAAGTATTACTGTACTTCGTACTACTTCGTATGTAATATTACAGTACGGTCCGTACTAGAKGTACTGTACTGTATTTCGTAGAGTACGTACGTACAAATCATATGGCTTAACATTACCGGCACTGCTACTAGTAAGTAAAAAAACGACAATGTAGTACGATTACCGTATGTAGACAGCGTAACGGGAAACGGTAAGACAATGCACTGGACGCGGGAAAAATGGTTGCTGAATATGTATGATAGTACTGCATGATAGATATAAATCATATCATTCTAGCCTGCGCGCACAGGCGGCATTTAGCGACTGTTAGATCGTCGATACCGGATAGCGAAATCCTCTCTCAATTTTATGCTGCCTTGGATGCTGGCGAAGCTTCGACGRCTAAAATGCATTCAATGATCCCTCTCCGTTGAAGAATAGTCTTCAACAACGACAACCTTTCCCCTTTCCATCTATTCAGAGAAGAAAGAGGATCTTCAGTACTATAGGCGGATAGTGRTCAGTTATTTCGTAGCAAACCTAATATCTCATCATGTCAGCGAATGTTGCTCCCACGCGTATGGCCCAGCAGATCTACAAGGGTAAGAAGAAAGCCGCTCAAGGAGGACATAAGCTGCTGAAGAAAAAGGCAGACGCCCTTAAGGTGAGTCGATTGAACGATTTCTGTCGCCACGTCGTAACGCTGTCCTTTTGTACGCTCCTCTTTGATTTGTGGAGAAAATGGACGGGGAAGATTCTTGAACCATTTCGTRAAGAATGGTATGGAGAAGGTTGCGAACGAAAGGCAATGGCCTCAAAGCCGCAACTTTTGAAGGCTCCCTTTTCTTTCAACTGCCAWAGAGAATTAGGTACAGTTTGTAGATGAAGCCAAATGAGTTCGAAAATGAAGAAAATTTGAGAGTATCCATATGCAGTCCAAGTGGATAGGCGATGTACTGTCTTCACAAAGATATATATTTTCCAGATTGAGGCACATTCGTTAATCATTGGATTAAATTCAATTTTGTTTCACTGATATGATGTGTCGATATCCGTATCTCACCATAATTTTTGCTTTCGCGACTTCCCATTAGGTGAAATTCCGAGACTATGCGAAGAGTATTGCCGAAACAAAGTCTGGAATGTCTTCTGATGCATCCAGTGCATTTTTCAGTTTGACACAAGCTGAGTATGCTGCCGGAAACTTCAAGCAAAAGGTTGCGGAAGGAACTATGAGTGCCCGAATCCGAGTCGGAGCTGGTGTCGATAACGTGGCTGGAGTCAAACTTCCTGTCTTCACTGTGTACGATACCGGTGCCGAAGCTGATAACCAATCGCTAGGATTGATCGGTGGAGGGAAAAAGATTGTCGCTGTTCGTGAAAAGTTCACCATTCTATTGGAAAAGCTCATTAAGTTAGCTAGTTTGCAAACATCGTTTGTCACGCTTGACGAGGCGATGAAGGTTACAAACCGACGCGTCAACGCTCTTGAAAACGTCACGATTCCCAGGATTGAGGCGATCTTGAAGTACATCGAGCGTGAACTCGACGAGTTGGAGCGTGAAGACTTCACACGACTTAAATTAGTGCAAGGAAAGAAAGAACAGGCGCTATTGTTAGAAGCCAAAGCGAAGGCAGCTATGGGAGTCAATGATAACGGTGCCGATAGCGGAGACATCATGTCGGGCTTCACTGCGGAGGATGACGATGTGGTCTTTTAAGTTTTTTAAGGTTGGTACTCCGGGTCACTATTTCTATAACTATTGTTTGAAAGAGTCGAAGGTAATTTTTTATCTCTAGAAAACAAAGATTAATTCCACTTGATATTATTTTGCCCCTGATTTGTACAACTCAGATAAATGCCATCAATAGTAAATTTTCAGAATGAATAATAGCAGCGTAATGGAAACTTTTTTGTTAATCTCCATTATTTTTATCTGGTTTCTCCATCGTCTGGAACTTTTGGCGTGTCAGCGTCAATCCGAGATAACTCATGACCCAAGAGGTAGATATGATGAGAGTTTGAGCCTTCACCACTGTCGATAGAGAATTGTTTCCTAGTCCAAATCTAGCAAGGGCGTCATCACCGTTCTTAGCGACTGGGCCTCTCCGTGGCCCAGAAGTGTTGAAAGTCAATCCCTCGAATTCATTCAAACTCATGCCTTCAAAACCCCACTTGATCAATCCAACTTTTGGAAGCCATCGAAGAAACCTAGGAGTATTTTCTTCAGATATGTTCTTACCGTCAAAAATAATATTCAACACCATAATTGCAGGGAAAAGTGCCAGTGCTGCATCTTGATTCGGAGCAACAGCGCCGATCATGAGTCCAGCTGATTGTCCAGCCAATCCGTGGAGAGAAACGAGCCCCAAGAAGCGTTTCATCTTTTGAAGAGTGTTGTTGAGGCCCGTTAACGACGAGACCAAAACACCAAAGAGGGAATTAAAGAATGCGGTAAGGGGAATCTCGGATATTGCCTTACCGATAAAATACGGAAGCGTTCCGTACATGTGGTCCCCAAGCTCGCCCGAGACAATGGCCTTCTCCTTTGGAAATGAACGTATAGTTGAAGCCATTGCCATATTACTACCACCAATAGCGATCAGAGATAGCAAGCCAAAGCGGTCCATAATACTTGCTTGATCATCTCCAAGGTGATAAATGGTTCCATAAATTAAACCCAACGAGATCTGCTGCACAAATTTGATTATTAAGGATGCTTTGCTCCTAAAATTTTCCCGGAGAGATCGCCGTAGTAAAAGCTTGAATTGGACGAAAATGTTGGCTCGACGCACGTTAGAATCTCCACGATAGCTTTTGACAGTATTGTCTGAAACCGATTTTTCTCCCAAATCAATTTCTTGTTCTTCTGCAAGAGATGCCAATTTATCGATCCTTCTAGACACATCTTCTGCGCTCTCTCCTGGCATTGCACTTCTTGATATACAGTTTAGTACGTGTTCTGCCGTCCTGTTGTAATTTTTGGAAAGACTGCAATGAGTTGATTGATAACGGACATGATACAACGAATAAAACGCGACTTCAACTCAAATCTCACCCCATTTCGCCAGAGGCTCTTGTTACATGTCTATCCATGTAATCTCGAACTTTTGAGGTTTCGCCAAAGTACATCTGCTTCCCTTCGGAAACCAGTAGTAAATCATCGAAGGAGGAAAAGACGTGTTGGCTCGGTTGATGGATAACGGCAACAACAGTTTCACCCGAATCTGCAAGTTTTCTCAACGCGGTAACAAGTGTGGCGGCTGCGGTACTGTCTAGGCCGGAAGTTGGTTCATCCAAGAAAATGACAGAGGGATTGGAAACGAGCTCGCACGCAATCGCAAGTCGGCGGCGCTCTCCTCCAGATATACCACGGACCTTTGCATCTCCGACAATCGTGTCAGCAGCTCTTCCAAGACTCAAATCATTGATGAGTTCCTCGACCCGTTCCGCTTGCGCTTTCTTGGAAATTAGACTACCAAGTTTTAGTTCCACCCGAAACGCCAGTGTTTCTCTTACGGTCATATGAGGAAAAAAGTTGAATTCCTGTTTTACGAACGCGGCGGGAATTTGTGATTCTCCCGTGATTGTATCTCCATTGATGTATCTCGATCCCTCCAGTTCGATTTTGGGCGATGCATTCACTTTTCCGGCCAATGCATGCATAACCGAAGACTTCCCAGCACCTGCAGAATTGACCCCAAAATTTGATGTGAAGAAACACTTGTGAGCTCTGCATGGCATAGAATTGAAGAACAAGCAATCAATACAACAATATGACTCACCACTTGGTCCCATGATTGCCAGCATTCGGCCCGGACGAGCTCGGCCACGAATACTTCCATCCAATATTAAGCGATTCTTCTGATCTTTTTTCTTTCCCTTCAATTCCATACGGAATCCACGAAAGCCTAAATCCATTTTTTTCATCGTCTTTATGTGATCATCTTGCACGATGATTTCGCCCTCTGGTGGAAACGAAGACGGATCAAGCAATCAATATATTCACAATTATCAAAAATTATTAGTAAACCATTCTTCTCCAAGAAAGTGTACTACCTCAATCCACAGCGGCTTACAAAACACGCGGCGAGAAAGCGATCTTGTTCCAGGTAGCGAAATAAAATTGAACACATAATGCCTGATGTCGCCTCTCAGAACAGAACTAAAATACTTTTGGTAACCAAGCTAGAACTCGGCACTCACCATCAGTATTCTTTTGTTCAATCCTCTCCAATTCTGGTCGCCCCATAAGAAACAGATAAAGCAACCCAAATACCATGGCAAGCATTGTCGCGGCGATTCCAATGCTTTCCCTCGAGACATCACATAGCGTCTCTATCAGCACCCAATTGGTACCGAAGCCTTCGTCGTCTTCGTTTCCCTCACCTTCTATGTAAGTCTTCTGCCTCTTGCCAGAAAATAAAAAACCATCACTGCTAGCACCACCACCAAAGGTCTTTTTCAGCTTTGAACCTATCCCAACGGCCGCTCTTTGGGCGGTCGTTCCCGATGAAAATATTATAATGCAGTATATCAAAGATATCATCACCGCATTTGTCACCGTGATGAACGACTTCTTTTTGGTTGCAGAAAATCTGAAGCAGAACATCTTTTAAACTATTGGACGCCTCAGGCACGAGTTGCTGTTCCGTCAATGAGTACACAACGTTCCGTAGCAAACGATACAGTAATGTTCGGTTTGAAGTCAACCGATCTATTTCAATGATGCACACAGAAAAGGATACTTCCTGCTAAACATACGTACGTACGCCCTTGAATACGATCGTGATACGTTATGGTCCAATTTTTTTCACCATCCTGAATTGGTTGCGGCCGCCGCCTTTGTTTTAGGTTATTGCTAGTAGAATGACTTGTCACAATAATGACTGAATGTTTAAGTTAAAAATGAATACTACGTAGTAATTTATTTTGGTAAAGGTACTAATTTATTTGCAAAAATTAATATTCCAAGGTTTGTACAAATCTACACTAAAAAAAGTTTCTTTTTGTTTCCTTGGTAAGTCCAGGGCAGTAAGAATTCTTCGTCAAAGTTACTGACTAGGCGCACTAAAGATAGAGATAGTGAAGTGCAGTGCACCGTAGCCAATTACGTCTTTCGCTGTTCGCTGCGAGTCCAAATCGAAACGTCATATTCTGTCGGATTGATTTTCCTCCCCCAAGGTCATTCAATCATGAATCCGGCCTTTCAATCATGAATTGCCACTGAGTCATTTCAAAAAAATAGCTCAGTAGAACAAAGTAGAATTTCTAGTAAAACATTTGAAGTTCTTAACTTTAAATCAAATTTATAACTTCAAATCAAAACTTTGTGCTCACGCCACTGGTTTCAATTGTTATGAAAGCCATAGTAAAATCAGGGGCATCTCATTCCCTTAACTCCTCTATTGTTGGGTGAGTCCCGTTAGTAAGAATACTATGAATTGCTAAATTTGATAGACTGCTGACAGACCAAAAATTTAGCACATCTATCACAAAATTTAGGGTGTTTTGAATGGATCAGAAAGCCCCATTCAAAATATGCTAAATCTATTGCAGAACCCAAGAATCATCAGGCGCAAAGCCAAACACACAATTGATGTATGTGTGCTTCAGATACTATAGTAAAGGTTTCAGGATCCTTTGGGAATAAGTGATCATGAGACGGACACATCTGTGGTTTCATGGCAAAGAGGGTGCAGATTTTTGTCATGATCCAAAGTTTTTTCAGTGCTTGATCTACTAGTAATCAAGAAAGAGCATAGCTATGAAAGTATTTAGTTGTTTGTTCTCACAACAACAACAAGATATAATAGGTAGTATGAAAGAATTCCACTAGATAACTCCCCAGCACAATGGGGGAATGAGAGCTGGAATGAAGATCAGGGTCAGAGATACACTGAAGTGAAAGATGGCCAGCAAACAGGTGGTGCAAACCAATTTCACTTGGGAAATGAATAGCTGGGGGGTGGATGGATGTAGGATATTTCTCTGGTGAAACAATTCCAGTATCCAGTCATTCAGCCATTCAGTAAGGCAGCTTACAAGATTAGCAGTGACAATCAAGTGGAGGCCCAGGGTGGACACATGTTACCTCAAGGAGGTGATTGTCTGCAATGCTGTCTGAGTCAGGGTGGATGATAACATCTAAAGAGATGCTTGGAATCCTTGGAATGTGAACAKAGACAACACGTGTCATGGGTTTGATATTTCCGCTGTTTGAGGACTGTGGCAATGGGCAAAATGTGATTGCAACATTGCGTGACCAGAACATTCCTAGAGATGCAATCGATGGCAATCCCTAGTGACTTTCCAAGCAATATCTGCTAGTATGGTGTGAGAAGGCCATTGGTTCCTTTCTTGCAAGTAGTATGCATGATGGTAACATGGAAGGAGACAAGAATCAATGAGAGCTTTCTTGTATTGGATAGTGACCAAGTATGATTGAGTCTGAAGGACAGCTAGGCATGAAGGTAGCTTCTACATTTGGCTGGTGCTGGTGAGCTGTCAAAGATAGTTTGTCAAAACCAGTCTCATCATCTTGGTGGCATTTAACCCAGGAAAAGGAAGGAGAAATATTTGGTGATTGGGTTGTTTGAAAAATTTGTTCATCAAGTCAAATTCTGGTGCCATTATGGCTTTTGCATATACTTCTTTGTATTTGTATCTGGATTGGATTCTGTTGATGAGTGCCTTGCACTAACAAAGTGAACCTGTGTGGGGTGAGGTATCAAGCCAGAAGATGATGTTGTGCTGGAAAATGAAGAGGAACAGAGTGTGTTGTCATCAGAGATTGAGTCCAAACATGGAAGATCTGTATCATCAAGTTGAGAACTTGCTTGGATTTCACATTTGGAATGAATTTGAGGTTTCAGCGCATGTTTCTGTTAGCAATGATGGAAGGCAAGGAGCATACTAGCAAAAACACTTGCAGATAATAATCCAGTTGCCTTGGTGCAAAGAGAACTTTCAATCCTAAAGCATGGGCCATATGCATGTGCAATCTCCAGCAGTTGTAGTAGCAAGAGACCACCAAAAGGACATGGAGTCATTTCTACCACCAGATCCATCTGAGCCCATTCGAAGATCTGTTGCTGAAGCAAACACAGCCAGTGTTTGAGAGAGACTGGTCCCAACATGAACATGCTGAAGAAGCTGGTGTTGCTATGGATCAATGTAATGTATAAGTGTATGCCACAAATGGAGTGTGGCAGGTGGACATTGTCGGGCTTTGGTGGGAAGGGGACATGTGCGGATTATATCGTATTGAAAACCTTCAGTCTTGGTTGTCCAAGTGAAGACAGGGCCATGGATACCAGGGGTATATTTGTCTGAATAGTGTTGCTGGTGGTTGTCCAAGTTTAGAAGAAACAAGGGGATGGAAGAACCATACTCTGTTGCTTGGTGACAACCAAATGCAATTGTTTCTAGACAGATAAGCACTCCACACTCCATGGATGGCATGAGGAAGATGCCAGTTGCCAAGCTGGTGATGAGCTTTACTGAGAACCCTGTTGGTGATGGGACCATGTGAAATGCTTTTCAGTAATTTTGTAAAAGCATTCCAACTTCTCCGTTCTGGATTGGGCTAATAAGGATACTTAGTGGAATGGTGGTAGGATTCCAAATGGTGGTGCGAAAACAGACTTAGAGGCAATGTATTGCTGCCAAGGAGGCACAAATCACTAAGCCATACTAGAACATTGAGATACATCTGGATAGAGTTAATCTGGCAGAGTGTACATAGTTGAGCTTTTGAAATTCTGTATGCATTGGTGAGCCTTGCTTGCAAGGGCAAGGTAAACTTTGGTACTTTAGTAGGTGTTTTTGGTGCAAAAAATCAAGAGTTTTTTCATTCTTTTGTATGTCCAGCAGAGCAGTGAGAATCATCAAGGCTACGGGCTCATGTGCCAAAATGCAATAAAAAGTGATAGTCCAGTGCACCATAGCCAACTTTAAAAGTAGCTAATCTTTACTTTGATCATATTGCTAGTATTACTTCACACATAGTACTACTAGGAGTAGTCGGTTTCATTTACAAGAATGGCATTAAGGTCACATAAAAAGTGTGTACTTGAGGAGCTACTAGTGGTACAGTGCAGAACAAGAGTGCCAGTCTCATTCAAAGAAACAGTATGAAATGAAGTACAACTTGAGTGAAAATCCTCATGCACACCAGCAGCTCAGTGCCAACAAAGAACAAGGATCATCAGTGGATGCAAAGTGCTGGAGATGGCCAGGAATAAGGAGAAAAGATGCAGCACACATAGTAGATTGAACTTGCTAGGCTTATGAAGCAAGAAGGCTTCCACCTATTATTAAAACAACAAGTGGTGCCCCTCATCCTCTAGTAGTAGTATCTTCTTCTTGTGGCTTGGGCCAGAGCGAAACCTACCAGCACACACGAAGAAGTCTCAAGAATTAGACCACCAACAGACCGCATGCCTGCTCAGAATAGTTCTACTACTACTASTAGTTGTTGAGGCAAGAATAGAATCAAGAAGCCTCCTAGCAGGCAAATAGTACTAGTAGAACACCGCTACCAACAACAAGTGCAGGAGCAGCAAGAACACCAGCAGCAACCACAAGAGTGCTGCTCCTCCTGGTGGTGGTGATTTCTTTTTGTTAAACCACAAGAGCATAGTTCAAGAAGTGAAAATGTAGCTGATGACAAGAAGCATCATTCTTGTAAAGTCACTCTTTCTATCATGCCATCCCCTGGGGACTCACCAGCAGTACCACTACTACAACAACAACTATTAGTATTACTAGTACCATGGAATTTAACATTTGGTACAGTGCTATTGGTCGTGTAGTACGGTACGGATGACGGTTGGACGTGATGTCTTCGAAGTCCACCGTTCGTTAATGTAGAAACTAGTATCTACCGGTAGGTTAGCAAGAAAAGCATTAGAAAAGCATCCAACCGTCTCAAACGGTACAAGTTGTTACCAGTACTCGTATTCAACCTACTCTACTCTACTCGTACCGCTACCGCTACCGCTACCACTACGTCTCAATTCTCTAGTATCGAAGTATTCGCTAGCACTGTACTTCAAACTTTTTGTTTAATCGCATCCACAACATAACGCTGTAGAAAGAGAACCGACGCTACAAGAACGTCGACCGCCTCAAAATATTGAAACGCCCATACGAGTGGCATATTATCAGTTGTTTACGATGGCCAACGAAGCACCCCCGGCGATCCAGTACCGCGACCTGACGGCTGAATGCCAGCAGCTAATGACAAAAATAGCGGACCTAGAAAGCGACCGAAACGAACACATCCTCGTGGAAGATGCGCTGAAACCTCTTGATGGAAGTCGCCGAGCTTACCGGTTGGTTGGCGATGTTTTGGTTGAACGAACAGTGACCGAAGTTTTGCCATCAATCTCTCAAAACAAGGAAAATGTGCGTGTTTCATATGGTTTGATTTGAACGCATAAATTCTGTCACACCGCAAACAGCGCAGAATGTCGGGGTGCATGTGTTTTTTTGTCTGTTTGTTTGTATGTTTGTTTGTATGTTGCTGTACGTGCCAATGAGAATTACCCAAACTAATAGTGAAGATAACTTTGGGTTTTCTTTTTCGTTACGTCGTTGATGCCAATTCTGTTTGACTTGAATTTCTTTAACGAATGAACACGTGTGGAATTCGAATTTCCATCGCATGTCACAAATGGATGGGTTGGTTTTATGAAATCGTAGCTAAACGCGACGATTGATGCCTTACGAGAGAGGTTAACCATTCGACAAAAAAAGGCTGCAGAGCTCAAAGCAAAACACAATTTGCAATAAAACGAGAAGGAAAGGATCCATCGTCCTGTCAATTTATATGCATTGAGAAGTGTAACAGTTACTCGCCACCGCGTCATCTTCGATCAAAAGCTATCCATGAATAGAGAAGGGGTCCATTTCACATTTGAATTAATTTGGGAGCTGGAGAGGAAATAAAGCTATCATCCAACAAATGTTGACATCAGTCCGTACGCAGAGCTCTTTGATAGATCTCGGAGCCCTCATTCGACTAATTGTACGCGGCATTGCATTAATGTTTGAAATGGCATCACTTTCTCCAAACCTCGCTTGAAAACTTCAAAGATACATCTCAAAATTGGCAGGAAATGTGTTCGACTTGATTTTTGTAATCGTTTCGGTGTACTGTAACCAAATTATTCTCTAGAATGCTTCACTATTTGGCTCTCTTAAAGAAGTAGRCCCACTTTTGAACCTTGAAGTAGACTTCCCAAATGAGAAAATGGTCTGTTTCCTAATCCCAAATTTGAAATTAATCCAGGTTTGTACCCAAACTCTAGGCAACAGGGGTTTGGGGAATGGTCTGTAGTATGTATTTTATGCCAGTTATAAGAATGTCAGGGTGATTGAAAGTCAAAGTTCTTCAATGAAACCAGCTATTTTTCAGTGATTCTTCGATAGAAAATTGACTCCTTATATTGTAGCAGAGTTTGTATCAATTTAATATAATGATTTGCAGCAGTAAGTCAATGTGCAAGACACGATGTAATGACAAGGCTGAGGTTACAAGGTACATTTTGCTAGAAGTACTACCAGACTAATATTAGGAGTACTAATACTACTACTGCTCAATATTACTATTACTACTACTACTACTACTACTAGCATTCCCTCCTAATATGAGGACTCATTGAAAAATATAAATTGTGCCATCAAATATCATGGGAGGACTTGCATACTTCTTTGAAAGAAGCAAAGGCAGCTTGTAAACCACCATGGACATTATTAAAGTTGTCCACTGACTGTTGCTTTTTTCTTGGGGGTGAAAATATATTGTCTCCTAAGCATAGGGTCTGGTGGAACATGTATAATTGCTGAATACCCCAAGAATCATGCTCAGAGGGCATGCGGTTGTGCTTCTGTGTCTATCAATTGCAATACCATCCATGTAAAAAATTATCAGAACTACTAGCATCTTGTTGTTATTTGGGATACACTTTTTCTTCCATGTTTCCAACCACCATTCCCCATGATGGAGTTGGCAAATGAGAGTATCTTGTGTCAGTTCAGGGTTGCAGCAGGGAGAGGTTTGATCTCTTTGGTTGGAGAAGGAGGGATTCTCTTCCTTCATTAAAGAAAATGCAAATGACGCCCAATCTGGTTTGTGTGATGATGTATGCTGCTGCTGCTGCTGCTGGTGGTGGTGGTGGTGTGTTTGCTGTGCTGTGGTGAGGTGATGGTGATTGTGCTGAGGATCATGATTGTGATGTGCTGGTGGAGTAGTGGTGGATCTTTCCTCTGTCACATCAGGTCTCATCTTACTGTGACATTCATTCACTGCAATACTTTCAAGAACAAGAAGTCCAAGCCTTGTTGAGGTGCAAGGGTAGGTATTGCATTGCATTTGCGAGGGTGCAGTTTTGTCTTTTTAGCATTTCTCTGTCTCTCCCTTATTTCCAATACTCAAAAAGATCAGCAAATCCTGGGTGCAAAACTCATAATGGGTGATTCCCGTTATTCTAAATCTCTAAAACTCTAATCTAGAGATCTAGAATAACAGGAATCAAGACATTCAACGGACAGACTGAGAGGATGCCAGCTCCACTGCAGTCTTTTTTCAGAATCTGGAATCTTAATTATTTTCAACGGAAAGACTAGAAAGACTCAAAACATGCGCCCTATTATTTTGGTACAAAGGAAAACATGAAAATTTCGATATTCAACAATAGAGTAAGAAATGAACACATTTTCTGTACTCTCACATTATTTTCTTTTCATCAGAAAATATGTTCATTCCTCACGCTACTGGTTGCTACTAGTATCAACAAGCCGACAAGCCGACAAACACACTAAAAGACAAC